AAGGTCTGCAAAAAAGTTCCACTTATACATCAGCTTAAGGTTTCCTTGGAGATTCTAGTGTTATTTAAAAGCAACAGAACTGGTTGCGCATGTGCAAATGAGACGATGGTATTTATTGGGTAGTGACACTGGCAACTGTCTAGCAAACAGTAGAGAATCAGAGCCAGTTAGAACGAGTGCGCCCCTTACTGGCTGGGAGGAGTTTAGCTTGTAGCTAGCTGCCCAGCATAATTAAGTTCAAATGTGACTTTTAGAGCAGCCCCCTCTGATATGCTTTATATGAGGGGTGCTCAAGTCCAGTCCTCAAGAGCTGCTATCCTGCAACTTTTTGATGCAACCATATTTAAAACACCTGAATCAAATCAGTGGCTCGTTACCAGAGGGGATTAAGGCTTTAGATTCAGGTGTGCTAGAGAGGAGATGGATCTAAAAGTTAAAGGATGGTAGCTCTTGAGGACTGGGCTTGAGCAGCCCTGCTTTAGATTATAATCATAAAATCAGAGATGGCACTGAAGAAGATGTTCCTCATCATTTGGAGAGGAAGATTCACAGTTAGTGGTCAGATTCCTTCCTAGTACAGGGTATTTGTGAGAGTAAAGCCTAAATGCACCGACTGTGCTCTTTTAGCTTTTCTATCCTAAAAAAAAAACGGTTATGAGAAAAAAACAGCAAATGAAAAAAATAAATAAATAAAAAGCAAACCATGACTAGATTTTGGTGAGCGTGCTCATAGCTGGGTAGAGCTCCCTCCCCAATGAGCTCCGTGTCGAACAGCTCAGTGATCAGCAGGTTGGCCTTCTCATGCATGTCTCCATCTATTAAAAAAAAAAAAAAAGCAAATATAATATTTACTAAATTAATTCAGCAAGACTAGCTACACCTAGTAACTGAAATGTCATCTCCAGGTGAAAGATTAACTCATTTAAAGAAAAAACTTTCTTATCTAAGAAACAACTTTGAAAAACCAATTAGACGTTGTGGATATACTTTCTGCTTTAGCTTTTTATCTCTGATCAGATGAAGAAAAATACAGTCAAAGAAAACAAATCAACCAGAGCTCAGCTCTGTTAAGACGTAAAAGAGAAATAATAATATAATGAAATAAAACAGCAATATTATAAATATAACTAAACTAGTAAACGAATATTATTATTAAATGGAGACCCATATATACAGTCTTTGTCCGTTTAACTTATCATAAATGAGTTAGATGATGCAACATAGTCTGAGAAAAAAAAGTAACAGTAAATGTATGAGAAAATTAGTTGTACTACTCTGTTTTTTAAATCAATCAAAGTATTAACTCCAATGCTGGTCCTTCCTATCACATTCAACAACATGAAAGGTTTTAATTTAAAATATGAAAATCCATCCCGGTTAAAGATCAGAGGCTGATGAACAACATGCTGATTCGACAGGTTTGTTTCTGATGACTGTCTTCTCTCTGACCTGGTCCCACTGTCACATCCGATGAGTGTTTGTTGATAATCTTGATCTTGTCTGAGAAGTTGTTTTTCTTCACAATGCACTGAGCCGCTTCTGCCATGGGCTTAAAGACCTGCAGGAAATCCACCTTTAATGAACCGATTTACACATACCGTAAAAAAAATTATTTGCCAAGCACTCTGAGGTTCTTGTTGACACCTGATCAAGTGCTGAACAGCAACATATTCTTCATCTATCATGGGCTGATACGAATGCACTACACCAGATTCAACAAACATCCTTAAGTAAATTATCCTCGTAAACAAAGTGATGCAGTCCAGTGTGTAAGCTAAACAATAGTTAGAATAACTCTATTGCAAACATTTAAGTACTATTCCCAATACAACATTAAGCCTTCTGCATCTGTTTCACTGAGTTTTATTTTTTTCACTCACTTAGAATGCATCATAAACGCCTCCTCCAAACAGGATTATTTTCTTGCACACTGCAGCAACCGGCAAACGAAATATGGTGACAGCAGGTGTTGTGTTTCAGAAAAGTGATATATGGCAGTGGTTTGGATTTCACGCCGAGGACGTCGAACAAAAGGCCGTCATTTGTAAGACGTAAAAGGTAGGAGAACAAATTTATTCCACCACCTAAAAAGTTATCCGCTGCAAAATGAAGAATGTTGTAAACCCTGCATGTCAGCATCTGCCCGTACACCGATTTATTTAAAACATTAAATAAATCAACTGTGAAGCCGATGACATTGGCCTTGTCCTTTGAAAAAGCGATCCCATACGAGAGCAAAAGAACGAGATGGAGGGAAATCATAGACCCTATTTATTATGTTATTTTAAATGTTTTTTAGATGCTCTAATACCTGTGATGTGATGTGGTCTTGTTCAGAGGTTTTGCAGGCGTTTTCTAAACTTGCCAATGATCTCACTTTTACAACTTTTTGTGCTTCTTTGAAATTCCCAGCCCATAAAGATCAATGCAAATAGTTTGAAGTTGATTTTTTTATTAAACACAAAAGAGCCCTTTTTTATTTTACATTGTATTTAGTATTGTGTGTTTGCTTTGTTTCCTGTTTGGTTGCTGGGATCTTGTCAAAGGTCTAATACTGAGACCCGAAGACATAATGTGGCAGAAAAGCTTTGAACTGGTTAAAATAAAATGTTTTAAATTTGAAACCAAAAGCTTGAATGAGTATATCAGTGCAATTTTATGCACTCCATTGTTTTTGAAGGAAATTAAAACATATGGTGATACATATCTTGTATCGTTATTATAGCCCAAATATATCGTGATATTAATTTTTTTCCTACCACGTTGATCGCAAAGGAATTGTTTGTTGATTTTTGAACTCTAGAATCATCTTTAAAATTCTGCTGTTTTAATGAAATGTTAGAGGACAAACGGACAATATTCCTGCACCTCCACAGCGTAACAGAAGTCGGCTCCAGCAGTGACGGCCATCATGGACAGGAGGCCCGTTCCAGTCCCGATGTCCAGGACGACCACTCTTTCACCTCTAGCCTTTATTCTGGACACAGCAGCCCGGATGCCCTCATAGTACTTCTTGTTCTAAAAGAGAGTAAAAATTTGCAAATAAACTGTTCAAATATTAACAAAGCTAGATATAAGATGTTAATACCCTTTTTTAATTATATAAAACACTGAGTTTTGGTTGTAAATTGCTGGGCAGTAATACAGTCAGTCGTTGATGAGTTCTAGTGGATGACAATAATGAGGCATAAGGAGAATCAATTTATGTCTATTGTGAAAACCATTTATGCCTAAAATGAATTAATTTATGGTGGTTGAATGCAGCTGGGGAGCAGAGATGTTCATGCAGTTCTCACCCTGTCGTGATCGTGCAGCATGTCGGCATAACATGACCTGAAACAGCAACAGAAACACCATCACATTAAATGTCCTGTTAGTTCAAGGAGCACATTATAATTTAATAAAAAAAAAAAAATCAAACATGAAAGAAGAATTAAACTTCACAGACATATTTTAAAAAAAACTCAAGGGCAGAGGATGGCATGTTAGGAAAGCAGAATTAAGAAACTTCTATGCTCTCAAATGGACCCATACTATTAGGCATCATAAAGAAAAAAAATTAACTGTATTTCACTCTCTTGGCCAATGCTATTTCTATCCACAATAAAACATACATGAATCGGTTTGGACACATACATCTAAAGGGTCTGTACATACACTGAAATTAGGTTTAATCAATTTTCTAATTGAAAATGTCTACTTTTTAGACAAACTTATACCTAAATATATATCCCTACATCCACCTAGAGATATATACCCTTACATATCAAATACTGCGGATGATAATGCTGCTTTCACCTCTACTCGCATCATAGAACATATTATGGTTTACTCTCGTGTTTCTTTTCTATTTTTAACAAAATGACCTACTGGAAGCTTTACTTTTACTTGCAGTTGGTGGGTTAAACTTCTGCATTAACATAACAGGTTTAAACTTTATTTTCTTACTTTTATATTTTTTTAATAAATCAGACAATAAAAATATCCTGAGATGCTTTTTTTTTTTCAAATCAGAAATTGATTTTTTTATCCATATCCAAGCTTTTAAACCAGTGTATTGTCAGACCACAGAACTGCACACAGTGACCCTTCGCTACTGTTTTCCTCCCGTCAGCCTCCCTCCTGGTGCCGCCTGGTCGGCTCGGACCCACCTGGCTATCTCCTGGTGGTAATCATACTCCTCGCTCTCCTCCACCCAGTCCAGAGCTCCGGTGGTCGGGTTCGCTCTGCCACAAAAGGTCTTCATGTCTTCCGCAACTCCTCTTCGCGGCGCTTGACATAGAAGAAAAGCTGATTTTAACGGATTATTCACCACAAAGCTAAAGCTTGTCAAGACAATTAACCCAGCGTTGCTCACATGAGCGCCGCCATATTGGCATGAAACGTCATGATCTATTTTGGTCACATGACCAAAGAATAACGTCAAGCAGCGTCGCCAAAATTCTTCTTCTTGAGTTTATTGGTGGTTGGCCAATGTATTTAGATCTGCAAAAAATTGTGTATAGTTTATTTGCGAAAAAAGAATGAATAATTTATTCATTTTAATAATTTAATTAAAATAATGTTCTAAAATAAAACAGTGAACAACGAAAAATAAAAAAAGTAAATTAAAATAGGAAACATAAATAAACAAATACATTATATATTTATTTAAAAGGTAAAATTTGTAAAAATAAATAAATAAATAAATAAATAAATAAAAAAGTATTTATTTGAAATAGAAATCTCCTGAAATAATAGGGGAAACATAAATACATAGACAAATAAATAAACAATAATTTTTCGTAAAACTACCTTTAAAATATAAAAAACTAATAAATGTATTAATAATGTATTAATTTTAAAAATAAGTTAGAAATACAAAATGGAAAAGAAAAATTTAATCACTGCCATGAAACTGGAAAATAAATCCTACCTTGCAACATCCTTGAGATCAGGGATTTTCTTTCTTTTTTTTTTTTTCGTGTTAGAAAAAGGTAGTTTTTTCTAAAACTTCTAACAAATTATGAAGACGAACAGCAAGTAGATATGTTACTTATTACTTAGATGGTCTTTTTACCAACATTTTTTTTTCCTGGAGTAAACATAGACTAAAGTATCGCTTTATTTGGGTACACTGATCCACCTCTTGGTTTGCAGCAGATTTGTTTTCACACTTGTTAAAAAAAATACATAGAACGCCAAATGTTACCTGATGCAAAATAAATCTACTTTAATGCATTTATATTATGTGATAATGTGGGCTAATATACTATCCAGAAATATACCGCTGGGTATGTAAATCTTCAAATATAATCAGTAAAATTGTGTCAAAATGGTAGTTACACATCGTTTTAATCGAGATAAAACTATTCAGAACAAATCAAATTATGTTTTTCAACCCAGAAATACTATTTGATGATGTTTGGCTTGTTTAGGCTTTATAATATTTAGAGTTCTTATTTCTCTCATTAGTCAGCTTTGATGTACAACCGACCCCTTTAAAAAAAAACATGAATCCCACTTCGTAGAAACAAATGTAAATGTTTTGGGGGTTTTTCACAGCAACATTCATACTCAAACAGTTAATTTATCCAAAATAATCTACAAATTATCCATAATGTGTGGTTTGCAAATATTGACAACACATTTTATCGAAGTCTGCTTCTGAAAACATTTATTTAAGCTTTCATGTCTACAAAGTACTCATGAGGAGTTTAATTACAAAAAATAATCTTGGTACAAAAACACCAGCAACTAACAAACAACAGAAGAAAAAAAAAACATAAATATAATAAATACATAAGAACAGGTTAAACACATCTGCTGTAAAAACAAAACAAAAACAAAACTTAGAATCAACCATGAGAAACAGTGAAGCCAAGTTTATGGAAAATAAAAACCTAATAGTAATGAAAAGAAGTAACGATTTTAAACCAGAGCTGTCATAGAGGATGTGGTTTATTTGATTTAACGAAACATTAAAGCATTCACTGGGGATGATTCTCCTGATAGATTCAGATATACTCACTCCTAGATTTGCCTGCTCATGTAAATGGTAATATACCTTTATAATCATACAAATTAGAATAATTTTAACCAGAAACTCAAGTGAGTGAAACGCTTATCTGTATTTCTTTAAAGAAAACTGAAAACACTGCAGGTTCAACTGGACTTGATCCCCTAAACGGTGCAAAAACCTTTTAAAAAAAAAACTTTTAGGGAATTTAACTTGTTCGTATTAAAGCTATAGGATGCCAAATATGAAGTTATGAGGATTTATGAAGCCGGTTTATAACAGATTTTGGGTAAATGGCTGAAAAGGAAGCAGCTGGAGCAGAAAAACCATCACTTAAACAACAACAGACCCTTAAAGCAAACAGAAATAAGACCCGAACCAGCAAGTCACAAACTGTATCCTTGATAAAATGCAGCAGAAACAGATTTATCACCATCCTTTGGTAATAGACAGAAATCTAGACAGAAATAGATGTTTTTCATTGTTCCATCCGGTCAAGCACACTTGGCTGTTGGCAGACAGAAGGCCAAGGTGGAGGGAGGCACCAGGATGTCAGTGAAGATGGGCCGGTATCCCTCTGGAAGAGGGGGGGCGCTCTGCTCCAGCAAGTCCAGCACGGCCCCTCGGATGTCCCTTGAGACGTCACCACGGACATCCATCAGTACAGAGACATGCTCCTCACTGAGGGAGCAGGAGAATAAAGACACTCCTTAGGAAATGTTTGTAAGTTCAAAACCTAACATAAAACATAAACAAGCAATACATTGCAGATTTATTACACTATAAGTAGCCCTGAGGTGTAAAACACTGCTTTTTGGTAGAAAGACAAAATTATTTGAAATTAACCATTTTTTTCCCTCATCAGTATAAATCTTTTGCACTTTGTTCCACTTTTCTTCATTGTGTTTCTTCACTTTATTGAAGTTTGTCTCTTTTAGCACCTTTCTCTAAAGGTCCCACCACAGTAGGTCAATCAACCTGTGATGTAGAGTTTGAGTAAGGCCTTTCAACAGATTCTCCACCCCCCGCCATCTATTTTAATAAAAAAAAGAGGGCAGGGAGACTGAGAGAAAAGTGTTGCTCATTAAAAGATAAAACTAGCCCACAGCATGATGCTGCCATGACCATGTGTCATGGAGAGGAGGGAGGGATGCAGTGTTCGTTTTTTACCATATATAGGATTAAAGCATTCTGATTTAGCAGAGGTTACATTGATTTAAAAGCATTAATACCATCATATGATTGAACCAAAGGTTTGTGGGGGATAAATTCTGTCTGGCTACTGTGCATCACTTTATGTGGAAAGCAGGTTACCTGATGTCTGGATATTTGGCAACTAGTCCAGAAACCTCCAGGGTGAGCATGCCGGGGTCTTTGAGTCGGATGAAGTCTGCCAGGACAGGAAGTAAGGCCAAGGGATGAACTTCAGTAGCCGACACCTCGTTTTCCTGCTGAGATAGAGATGCCCCTTTGGGTTTTACTAATTGGAAAGGAACAGATACCAAAGCTGCTATGTGAAACACAATGCCAGTAAAAGGTTAAATCATTATAAAACTGAAAAAAAAAAATTCTAGAGCCCTTTTCTGATTTCTTGGTGCAACCTTAGAAAAGGAGCTAAATCAGTTGTTTGAAAAAGAAAAATAGCAAAAAAGACACGACTGACTTTTGCCAGGCAGCTCTGTTGTGTGGTTTTCTGTTAAGATTGATTTTTTTTAAACCACATTGTCAAAAGTTTTGAATCTTTGTGTTGATGAAAACAGCAACCAAGTCAAGGCACGTTTATTTGTTAGTTCTGTTGTCCTTCATTTTTTTGCACATCTGTACCTGAGATATGCATCTCTTCCAGTCTATTAAACATGTGACCTTATCTGTATTTGCTATAGTTAGACTTCTTTCTTCTTTTGTTTAATTTCTGTCCAGTTTTTAATTTCCTTCCACAATACTGAAACATGCAGCGAGGTGTTTGGAAAGAGAATCTGGATTTTGACAGGCTGTAATATCACGAGATCAAAGTCGTTAAATACAAGAATAAAGTTGTAACATTACAAGAATAAAGTCATAATATACCAGATTTTTATCATAATAATAAAGTCATTACTTAATAAGAACTCTCGTGATGTCATCCCCTGCATTGAAATGATGACTGTTGAGATGTTATACTTTCATAGCCTTGCCAGCCAGATGTATTGATGGTATCAGTCTAGCTAAGAGCTGGTAGAGCTTGATATCAAAGGAGGGACTAACAGGGTTCACCTCATCAGATTAGAACCAATCGGATAACTACGATTGTGATGCAAAAAACTCCAAGGGACGCGCTCTGTTTTTGTCATTTTGTAGTCTGTAAAACATGCTTAGCCATCGTAGAAACTCCCAAGTAGAGGATTTCTGTTGGTTTTGGCTAAAAAATCTGAGGCTATATTCTTAATTTTCATTGCAACTTTACTCAGTTTTCGACAGCTTGATGCACTGAGAGCCAAACCCTCGTAAAACCAAGCCTCCCACACTGATTGGTTCAGCCCGATCTGCCAGGCTAATACCAATATTAATACTAATACAGAGCTGGTCATAAATTGTTCAAATATTTTTTCTGAAACAACAAAAATTCTGACAACTTCATTCTATAAAGGCATTTTATTCTCATTTTATTACAACTTTTTTCTAGTAATACTACAACTACTATTATTATTAATAGGCATTCTATTGTTATAGTTGTTTATTATCTTATTATCTATTTGCTTATTAGTTTGGCCCATTGATTACATTTGATTGTAGTTGAAAAGCTGCCTACAACAAACAGACCAAGAATTCAATTAAAATTGAAAATACTTAGAAATGTTTCTTTGTTTTAAAGAATCTCACTGATTCCAGTCAAAATATTTGGTTAAAGTCCAAATTTAAACTCCTCACCAGGCTGTGGAAAACTTCTCTGAATAGCTGGTCATCCTGAAGCATCTGCTGAGCAACCAGCCCCCTTTCCTCGCTGCTCCGACACACCAGCTTCTTCTGCATCAAGGCCCGGACGTACTCCACCACCATCAGCCACTGGGCCTCCTCCTGCAGGCGCTGCAGTCGCAGGAAAAACAAACAGAACACTTTCAGACATACTGAGTAAAATTAATTCACCATGGAGGAAACAAGGTTCAAGATCAGTTTTCAGCAGTAAAGAAAAGCTTAACTTTGGCTGCCTAAACAGACAGTAAAATACAGTAAAGATGTTTTTCTACAGTAATTATATCATTTAAACTTTTCCAAATTTTGTCACGATTTAGGATTTAGTGTTAGAGACCAAATATAAGTAGTGATTGGAAAGTAAAGTAGAAATATCAGATTTTATTTATTTTTTAATAATAAAAATCTGAAAAGTGTGGCAGCA